TGTAACCCAGTGCTGGAGAGGCTGAGAGGAGGATCTCTACAGGTCTGAGTTCTGTAGTGAAACCCTGTACCAAATAAATAAATCAAAGATTTAAAAAATTAACATTTCTGGGACTTCCAGTTGTCTTAACTAGAAAAATATTCAAGTTCAGAATTTCGCTAGCTTTTTTCTCCTGGCCGTGTGGGGGATCACACGCAGGTCTGTGGCGAGGGCCGCCCTCGGCTGCGTGGCGTAGAGAGCAGTGGTGGGCGCACAGGCAGGAGCACCTTCACACGCCTGAGCCAGGCCGAGACTGGGCCGGAGTGCCAAGACTGGGACAGCGCCAGTGCTCTGAAAGGCCCTCCCGTCTTCTAATTCTGCCCCGTAGGGGTCCAAGTGCCCTACATACAGACCTTTTTGCGGGATACACTATATTCAAACCATAGCACCAACAGAGGGGGACTGGCATTCCAATATACAAATTTTAGGGGGACACAAATATTTAGTGTGTTGCTGATGTTGAAATCATTATTTTTGCAGATTGGTGTTCTTCAGGTGAAATGAAAATATTGTATAAAAGCCAAAGTTTTTAATATGTTTTTCTCTGTAATTTCTTTTCCAGCTCCCCTGCAGAAATCTCAGTGTATGCACAAGTAACTCAACAGAAAGCTGAGGAGATCTACAGGTACTTGCACTATGTATTTGATGTGCAAATGCTGCCGCACGACCTTAACCAAGACAGACCAACCTGACACACGACCAGACTGCTTAAGATGCTGCACAGTACTAAATGCACTTCCATAACTGTGTTTGTGATGATGTGTAAAATATGTAAATGTTTCCTTATCACTTAAAAGATATTTTGTGTATATTTTTATTTATATGTAATATATAAATTAAAAGAAATCTCTTGTGCAGTGATCATTTTGACTCAGTAGACATGAAACTAACTTTCTGTTTTCACTGTGAATTTTTTTTTTTTTAAAGAATACAAAATAGTGATAGAAAAAAACCATGAGAAGCGATACAAGATTTCAGTAAACAAAGTAATAATGCAACAATAGTTGCTGTATTACACGATGGTATCTTTAAATTAGTTGTTCAGATTACCAGATATAATTGTGTAAGATTCGTTTAAAAAAATAACCAATGGGCTGGTGAGATAGCTCAGTGGTCTAAAGCACCTACTTAGAACAAGCTTAGCAAGGTTCAATCCCCAGCACCACATGCCAGCCAGCCCCGCCCCCAGGTGGGCTGAGCTGGCCCCACACACACACACACACACACACACACACACACACACACACACACACACAAATACAAATAAAATAACCAAGAAGTTATAATTCAAAAGAGGAAAAAAAAATTTAAGCGTTATCTGTTCCTTTCAAAAGACCAGCAGAAATTGACAATACAGTTATCCAAATCCTTCTGCATATATACCTAAATATATCTTTTCCCTTCTTTCACTTGTCCTGTTCCTCATCCCAGTTTTTCTTCCTATTGAACAATTTCTTTCTCTTTCACAGTATCTGCTGTACCTTTTGGATTTCCATTACTCTTTCAGGTTCTCACATGAGCGAGATAATCCAGTGCTTGCACATGTGGATCTGATTTATTTCACTTACCAATATAGTCTCTTTTTTTTTTTAAATCATTCCTGGAGGCAAGGTGTTTTTTGTTTTTTTTTTTTAACTGGGGATTGAACTCAGGCCCTTGTGCTTGCCAGGGTGCTTATTCTATTGAGCCATCTGCCCAGCCCCACCCATATAGTCTCTAACTGCATCCATTTATCTACATAAGCCTCAAATGTATCTTTTTTATAGCTGAATAATAATTGTGTAAAAACACCTTTTTTTCTTCTGTATTTAGAACAGGGTCTACAGGATCTCACTACGTATATCAGACTCGTAGTGATTCTCCTGTGTTCAACCTCCCAAGCACTGGGATTACAGGTGTGCGCCACCACGCCCAATCTCAGTCACTGCCTCAGCATGTCCCTGGGGGCAGGCCTGGCACGGCATGCTGGGGACCGAGCCGTGGTCACTGCGCTGCCTGAGCAAGTGCTTTAGCCTGCTGAGCTATCAGGCCGCGACCCCCTTTTAATACCATATCTTTTATCCATTCCTCAGTGTTGTGGGTTCATAATCAATGTGGAAATCCAAGTAGCCAGTTACAAATTTGAAGGTCTTTTATTAGCTGAGCTCAGAGACTCAGCATAGACCCGTTTCAGTATCTGAGTGGCGGTCAAGAAGAGAACATGAAGAGTATATAAAGAGAAAGAATATGTAATATATCCTGCTTGTCAAACTGATTTTTTTCTTGCTATACATCTGGCTACTTTTTTTCCTGTTACTGTTTAGGGTCAGCAGTATTTCCTCAGGGTATATTTCCTCCTGTTTACTTGTGTCACACGTAGGCCTGTTTTTACAACTCTGGAGGCAGCTAAAGTTTGTCCTGGCAACACTTAGGCTATGAGTCTGGGTGTAGGCCATCATGCTCAGTTGGTGGGCATTTGGGTTGTTTCCAAGAGCTAGCCATGACTGACAGCGCTGCTATAAACATGGGTGCACACTTACCACTGTGGTATGATTTCAGTTCTTTGGGAAAAGCACCTAGGAGGGGACTAGCTGGCTTAAATGGGACCTCCAATCCTAGCTTCCTGGAATCTCCATCCTGATTTCCCTAATGGTTGTACCAGCCTGCACTCCCACCTACAGTGGAACTGACTTAAATCAGCATTTGTTGCAAGTGCCGCTGAGGGCAGCCTGCTATGTGTATGGCTTGTGTCTAGCTGTCTCTCCAAAGCCCCATTTGGACACAGGTGGGCTTTTCAGAGGTGGCCGGATCTAGGGGATGTGATGCTGGGGCCAAGGGGGTGTGGTTACGAAATCAGTCCACTGATTGGTCTGTTGGCGTAGGTCTGGGTGTGAGTGCCGCCGGGCCTAAGGGCTTGTGGCCTGGATAGGCTGTAGGAAACGGCTGCTCAGCTGTTGCTTGTCCGTTTGTTTTCTGCTTGCCAAGGTCTGCGTCTCCTCTGCATGCCCCTCTGCCATGGCACCCTGCCTGGGAGCCAGCCAGCTAGGAACTGGAACGTCTAAACCACGAGCCAAACGATCCTTTCGTCCTCTAACATTGCCTGTGGGCTTGTCTCAGCCAGGAGAAAAGTCAGACACTAGGGGTGGGTGGAAGGTGTGTTGTCAGACAAATGCCAAGTACATTCGCATAAATGGCCGTTTGGCGTGGAGTAGGAGTTGGCTTTCGGTGTGCTGTTGAATGTGCACTTTCATTTTGATGTATTGTCGTGACATCACATGTTTTCAGGTGACTCCGTTTCTGTCTGCGTATGAGGCCCTTCCGTCTGCTCCTTGCTGCTGATAGGACACGGGGGTGGCATGGACAGGCGGGGTCTGAGAACATGGTCATGGAGACAGTGCTCAGTGCCTGGTCCGAGTGCGGCTGTGCAGCGGCCGCGAGCTCATCCCCGCTCCAGGTGCTGCGCCGCACAGACCGCGTGCGCTCGACGGCCTGTAGCTAGGCCGCTTCTCCCCGCGCCAACTCCTTCGTTTCCTTGTGACTTGGTTTTGCCCCTGTGAGGCAACTGTGGTTTTTTTTGGTCGAACTGGGGATTGAACTCAGGCCCTTGCACTTGCCAAGGAAGCGCTTATTCTACGGAGCCATCTCCCCAGCCCCGCCTCCTGTGAATACTGTTGGGTGGTCCGGCCAGGCACAGTACAGCACTTCCCTCGTTTTAGACCCTGAAGATACAAGGCAGGCGGAGCTCAGATTGCTTTTTTCTTTACTCTCACCATGTAAGAACAGTGTGGCCCAGAAACGTCAGTCCCTCCACATCTGCACACTGACCTGGATGGCTGACCTTCCGAGCCCTCCCACCAATGACCCTCTCTGTGTGTCCTCTCATCCCACAAAAAATGAACATGGGAGAAGTAACATAGAAGATTTCATTTATTTATAAAGAGCTCTTTATCCCAGCTTGCAACTGCTTCCCGTTCTCACTGGCAGCCCTTAGCTATAAACCCAATTACCACCCCATCTTACTAGTCTGCTCCTAGAGCCCTTTTTATTCTACATATTACAATCATTTCTTTGAGGGGGAGGGTACTGGGGATCGAACTCAGGACCCTGCGCTTACCAGGCAGGCGCTTATGCCACTGTCTCCCCGGTCTGAGCCCCTTAGTCTTTTGCTTTTCTACATTTAAGTCTTGGGAGGTTGCTTACCTGAAGCATTATTATTTTATGACCTACTAGAACTGGGACCACCAGGCACCTGGCGGGCGGCAAAGACTCAAGCAGCTCTGACGGGGCACGGCGCCTGAGCGGTGAGGTCACACCCACTGGTCAGCGTCAAGCCAATGCCACATCAAAGTGACCCTTGTGTTCTGTTATGGGGTTTTAATGACGTTAACTTCTGAATACTATCCATTACCTCAAACAGCAGCACAGCTTTGTACTGGGAGCCCAGCAGTGCTTTTCAAGACCCTCTACAACAGTCCTTTTCGGTCCCCATGCAGCAAGGGTCTTTGGGACAGAAATTATCATACTAGTTTATAAAGGATCCTACACTTAGATAATTGCTGATTGTTACTAAAATTCTAAAAAAAAAGTATTTTCTACTAAAAGTTCAAGTATTTTTTTGAGGAAATTTATAAAATTAACAATGGATATTTTCTTTGATTGAAGAGTTGAAAAAAAAAATACACAAATAATTTTAAAAACAACCCAGAAACAAATCCTATAAAAGCAAACTAAGTTTATTTGAACAATCTAACTGGAGAAAAAGGGTAGATGAATATGTACTATATATAACCAGGAAGAAAATATTTTATCAAATTTTAAAAACAGTAATTGTAGAATAAGCTAAAAGTTTATTCCTAAAGGAGCTGTCAGTGAAAGGAAAAGGGTATTTACTAAAACATGACCTGACTTCTGATATCACTGGATCTATTAGCTGAATGTCTAATCTTTTTTCTTTTTTATCTATAGTTTTTAAGACAGGGCCTTACTCTGGTAGTTCAGGCTGGCCTCAAACTCGTGATTATAGTGTATGCCACTAGGCTGGTCTGACTGTTAATATTAAGACCAAATTTAAACTGTGTTCACATACGTAAAAGGCTATACAATGGGACAGAAATCTGCTTTCTGGTTCTATTTAATAAAATACCGAAGTAACAGATAAAATTCACATATGTTTGATAACCCAATTACAAGTTTCAAGAAAAACAATCAGAAGAGAAGCACAGCAAACAGTTTCAACAGTATGTAATTTAAACATTAGTTCAACTAAGGCTTTAATACCTGGACGTAACAAAGCCGAGGTTTTCACGAATGCAGCAGCACCAACCACCCGCTTCCTCTCCTTACGCCCTCACTTACAGTAGCAACATTTTTTTTGAAACTTAAAAATTTACTTAGGACATGATTTTATTAAAGCAATATTACAAATGATATTTACAAATATCTGCACAAAACAATCTTACATATTTGGTAAGCTGCAGCAATGAATATTCTACATACAAACATAGGAAAGCTTTGAAGAAAATTCACGTTTTCCTATGAACCTCCATCTTAAAGTACATAAATCTTTTGTAAATGTAGATACAAATACGCCATCTGCTTTTTGTAAAAGTCCTGGGAAACACATTTTCTATGGGGAATCAGAGTTTGAAAAGTAATAATCTTTCTCTTCTTCATCTAAAGATTCCATAGCATCAGTGAAAAGTTTTCCAATACCAGAGTTTTCTCCTAAATCTGTAAAAAGGAGTTTAATGACAAGGATTAATAAATTTCCAAGTAATTTCCATAACTTTAAACAGCTGTGAGGAGGGGAACTGCAGGTCTGTTGAGCACAGAGCCAACGCTTCTAGGTCCATCTACGTAATGAAACCACAGTACAAAAGAAAAAAGACATTACCTCTGTTAAACAGTGTTTTTCTTGATGTTGGGCTTGAGAGAACAGTTTCAACCTACAAAAGAGTGCACATTAATGGTGAGTGTTTCCACGGATGCCTCGACACACCCAAGTGAGCAGATTGTTTTCTGTGGACGCTTTTTTTTTTAAATAAATAAATAAATATATATATATATATATATATATATATGTATATATAATTTATTTATTTATTTTGTGTGTGTGTGGCCAGTTCAGCCCACCAGGGGGCGGGGCTGGCTGGCATGTGGTGCTGGGGATTGAACCGAGGTCTCTGTGCTTTTGCTTAGCTTAGCTTGTTCTAAGTAGGTGCTTTAGACCACTGAGCCATCTCACCAGCCCTGTGGACACTTTCTTTTGTGTGTTTGTGTGTATTTTAGAGAAGGGTCTACAGGGTGTTCAGGGTCTCACTACTAGAGGGACTCATAGTGATTCTCCTGTTTACAGCCTCCCCAGAGCTGGGATTACAGGCGCGCGCCACCGGGGCCAGCACAGCAGGCCTAGGTTTGAACCCACAGCCCCTGAGCCTGCCTGCAGGCGCTTTAATCCGCTGAGCTATTTGGTGGGCCCTTTTGCAGGCGCCTTCACTGTCTGCCTACAACACTGGTTCACGTCACTGTTATCTGGCAAAGACCCAGGCCTCAAGTGCATCCAGGGCAAAGACCTTGACTTAGTATACTGTTCCTCACTGCTGGCAAATATGACCCTAAGATGGTCCAGTGACAAAAGGCTAGACTCTAGCCTCTAAAAGTTCCCAACTGTGAGACGTATTTATTGAAAAATTGCTATCCTATGCTAGTGAACTTAATTAAAAACACAAACATACTTTTTAGCATCATTAAGGTAAGTGGATGTAGGTAAAAACAATACTGTGTTTACCACAATTTATCACACATTCTGTTGCTCTACAAGTTAGATTGGATAGGTAAGAATGAAAATACTTACTTTCTTTTTCTTAATGTTGCCCCAGGCCATGCCACCATTACTTTTATGATTTTTTTGTATACGAGAAACATATTTATCACAATCATCCCTGTTTGGATACAACATAATTTCAAGTCAACATTAATTATCATACTTTTACCTACAAGTTGAACAGCAGTTGATAAAATTCTATTGCAACATTCAACAAGTACCTTTTCTAGTTGAAAGATGGCAATGGTACATCTACAGAAAGACAAAATGCTCTAAGCTTTTTTCTTCAGTCCTAGAACTAAACCAGGGCCTCTGCACCAAGCTACTCTCCCATCCCTTCTTAGAATTCAGTTTGAGACATGGATCTGTAGCTTGATAAATTTCCTGGCTGGGCTTGAACTTCTGACCTTCTGGCCTTCACCTCGCTGAATGCAGTGATTGCAGGTGTGCGCCCCACGCCTAGCTTTAAGCAAATATGTATGCATGGATGGATGTACGTACGTACGTATGTATGTATGCATTTGGTTGTTACAGGGACTCACTACTCGCCGGCCCCAAAACAAACATTTTCAAGGCAACACTGAGTAAGACCAGCCCAGGAAGCGAGGCTCTGCTCACGGAGCGATCAATACTCCGGCCTTTCGCAAGCGAGTCAGCTGCTTCTCGTTTCCAGACCCTGAGCTGGTCTCTGGGCGCAGCCGTCCGCACAGCGGCTCTGACTCGGGCCGCGCCCAGAGCCTTCAGCCTCAGGGACACCTGTGGAGTGTCCGCGGTCGCGGAAAATCATTTGCTACCATAAGACAGCCCAGAACTCGAACAAGTCGCATGACTTGGCGAGCAGAAATGCTGCAACTGTGCGCCCAAGAGCTGGAATTGCCCCCATGGCGAGCGCTGGAGAAAAAGACCAGACATGACACATTGTGAGCTGGGCAGAACAGGAGTGAGAGCCTGCCCCTGAGTCACCCCTTCCCGCTCAGGTGCGAGTGTCACCCGGGCCACCGGGATGCGGACCCTCAGGTGTGGGAGACGCGGTGGTCTCGCCCCCTTTTTCTATTCCTTAATATCCAGACTGAGTCTCAGGCAGTCCCCTTAAGGGTCTGCCTGACGAAACCCTCCATCCGCACCCGCCAGCTGTGCTATGTTCATTCGGCCCAGAAGCCTTCAGTTTCTACAAAAGCCCATCTTTTCTGTGTTTTCCATTTAGCAGTGGCAATTTCAGCTTTCCATGCCTGCACGTGCCAGGTCTGCCTACTGATCAGTGTGAGCACCGGCGACATGATGAGCAGAATGGGCCAGAGGGCCCCGGGGCGCTGTCACGGCCTGGGCGGGGAGGCGCGGTGCTGCACTGCGCTGTCCCGTGGGCTGTGAGCAAAGCTCTCCTCTTCACTGCGGGGGCTGGTATTCAGTCCCAGCAACAGAGCTCTGACTAACACATTTACCTTATTTCTTCTTCAGCTCATTCTTAGTAAAATGCACTGACTTACAATTCACAGCCAAAAACTAAGGCAAAACGAAACTTAACTCCCATTTCCTCCCTCCAGTTCCTAGTCTCACTGGGACAATTCAGCAGCGAACAATTCTCATCTCTCTGGGCCCCACGGTCCCATGCAAGCCATTACTCTCCTTCCTGTCGGAAAGCACGGAGCACCCCCAAAGGTGACGCACAGAAATGGGGGCTCGTGACCGTGTCCCGGGTTTCCGTGAAGCCCCAGCAAGGCCAACTGTGCAGGACCAGGGCCGCCTCGCCTGAAGCTAAACTGTCTCCTTATCTAAAACTGAACAGAAGGGCAGCAGGCTCAGGAGCTGGGGAGCGCAGGGGGTGGTGCGGGGCTCAGCAAGCACACTTAGGAAACGACTCAGGGTGTGTACCGCGCTGGCCCCACGGTCTCCACCAGACACACAGCAGCACTCTGTGTTCTCACAGCTGTGAGCAGAGATGGCTGTGCACGGAAACAGAGACCTCTGCACACCAGTGTCACTCAGGAGCCTGAAGATAATGGCCCTAAGATTGCATTTCTCTTACCAATCCATGGTGTGTAAAATTGGGTTCATGCTCCACATTGTTTATCTCTGAAAAACTATTTTGAACTAATATTATTCTGTCATTAAAGATTCTTGAAAACAAGGTTTTTTTTTTTTTTTTTTTCCTTTTTGAGACAGGGTCTCCTTTCATAATTCAGACTGGCCTTGAACTTGCTATGTTGTCCAGGCTGGCTTCGAACTGGTGGCAATCTTTTTGCCTCAGCCTCCTAGTGCTGAGATTACAGGCGCACACTACCACACCTGGCTGAAGACAGGATTTTTAGTTATGTGCTATTATTGTATAGGGATAAAATTTTCAAGACTGTTCCTTTCTTTTGGAATTTTAGGTTATTTTAGTTTGTTAATTTTTTTTTTGCGCCGAATGCCTTCAAGGCATGACTGGCTGTCTTGTGTTGTGGGGATCGAACCACAGCAACCTGAGCCTGACTGCTTTGTTGAAGCAGCCACTTAAAGAACTAAGCTAAGGGGCAGGCCCCCATTTTAGGTTATTTTAAAATTTCCAGCATTATATATTGTGATATCTTTGTTCATATGAAAATCTCTTATTTTCTTAGAATTGATTAATAAACTCTATATTTTAAGGTTTTTGATGATTCAGTTGACTGCAGGGACCTCGGGGAAGCCGTGCCACCGGGCCCCAGCTTAGATTCCGCCGGGCTGAGCGAGCAGGCTGGCCAAGCCCGTGGCCGGGGACGTGCCAGGGAGGTCAGGTCACTCCACATCCATGGCCCAGCTTCGGGCTGACCGCTATCCCAGGCCTTGGGCTCCTCCTGACTGCGACCTACCCTGAGCCCTAAACCAGCCACGGTGGAGCGCTGTGCGGAGACCATGTGTGGTGGGGAGTCTGGATGTTCCGGCCTGGTGGACTCCGTGTCTCCTCGCTGCCGTGCAAAGGCCACCACAGGCTCACAGGTGGGAGCTGAGGCTTGGGGTCGCCTGGGGGCAGGCCCTTTCTTGCCTGTGCTGCAGGGGGACCAGATGCACTGTCTGCTGTGTTCAATTCCAGCGGCTGCTGTAACAAACTGCTACAGACTTAGGGGCATCTGTCAACACAAGCTTACTGTCCTAGGGTTCTGGGGGTCAGGAGTCTGAAGGGAATCATTAGGGGTTAAGTAAAGTCAACAGGTCAGCAGAGCTAGGTCCTGCTGCAGGCTCAGGGGCAGGAGCAGAGGCCGAAGCGTTCCAGGGCTTGGGCTGCGCCCCGCCCGTCTCTGCTCCTCAACACCTAGCTCCTCCTCTCTCTGACCCTCAGCCTCCCTATTACAAAGACCCTGTGACTGCCAGGTGCCACGCTGCCAGCTACTCGGGTGGCCCAGGCAGGAGAAGCCCATACCTGAGGCTAGCTTCGCTATTTAGCAATACCTTGGTCTTAAAACCACAAAAGCAAAACAAAACTACCTCAAAATACAGAACAATTCAATGTTCCTCCATCTGCTGATGCAGGAAATGAACATATGACACATGAACACTTACCTCTTTATGGAGGCGAGCATGCCAGGACTGACGTGCTGACACTGAGGAGTCTTTGCCAGTGGGAAGGTAACCGATGACGGCGTTGTTGGGTCTTTGTCCAGAGCTGGCAGAATGTCATCCCCATCCTGACTGTTCCAGAAACTTGGCAACTTGAAGACAAATCAGGCAGAATAACATCATCACCTTGACAAGCAGTAAACAAACATCTCAGCAGACACATGTAAAAATGAATTTATCATCACAAAATGGTTTTTGGTGGGCCAGTGAGTTGCTTTCTTTGTAATTCTCCAGAGTAGATAATTTATAAAAGTAGTAGAAAGGTGAGAGCCTTAGGTCCTAGGAAACCAATTTTTCTTTCTGCAGAATGGAGATGACAACACCTATTTCTAAGGCCGTATGAGGCATCTTAAATTTTTTTTTTTTTTTTTTGGTCTCGCTACACAGTTCAGGCTGGCCTTGAACTTACTTCTAAGTCCTGGCCCGTGCCTTGAGCTCACTTTGTAGTCCTGGCTAGTCTTGAACTTGCAACGTTCCTCCTGCTTCAGCCTCCCAAGTGCTGGGATTGCAGGCGTGTGCCACCACACCCAGCTATCACATATTAATTTTTACTGATTAAGACAGTCTCACTATGTTGTTCAGGCTGAGTCTATAGATGCTTATAATTTGTACTTTCTTTTGTTGAATTAGTTTATGATACAGTGACATTCTCGTCATTTTTTGGGTTTAAGTCTTATACCCGATTCCTGCTCACTTTCCTCCCATTTGTGTGGAACACTTTTTCCTAACCATTTAATCTAGATGGGGCTTACTGGTAAAGTTTCTTCCAGTTGGCTTACTGCAAGGTCATTTTTATCCATTTAGCTGTTCTATATCTTTTGCTTGGGGTTACTATTGAAGATTATTATTATAAAAGTTTATTCCTCCCGCTATTTTGCTAATTGATCTCTATATTATTATGTGATTTCTAATTATTCTTTGTTCCTTTCCATTTCTCATGGTCTGCTGGTTTCTTGTGGCACAGCATCTTTTTCTTTTTCATTTATGTATCTTCTTTACCAGTGAGCCTTAAATTGTTACATTTTTATAACATAGTAGCTATTCTTTCACTTTTAGATGTTACACTCCTTTAAGCATTTCTTAGAGGGGCTGTATAGTGATAATGAATTTCTTGGGTTTTATCTTAGAAAGTTATTATTTCTCCTTCACTTAAAGGATAGGTTTATTCAGTAAGCTAACCTTGGTTGATAGTTTCTGTATTCTCTCCTATATTATTTATTGTGTCCTAAGGTTTCTGCTAAGAAAACTGCTGTTGGTCTAATGGGGTTCCCCTAACTGTGACCTGGTATTTTCTCTTGCTGTTTTAAAAATTCACTTTGTCGTGGACTCCTGTCAATCTGCATACCATATGCAGTGGAGAAGACATCTTCAGTCAAATATATTTGGATTGCTTTAGTCTCCTGGACACAATGCTCCCATCCTCCCCAAGATTAGAAAAGTTTTGAGCTATTATTTCAATGACTAGTATTTTCTCTTCCTTTTTCTTTGTTTTGGAAGCCCCTAATTTGAACATTTTTCATTTAACGGCATCCCCAATGTCTTTGAGGCTCTCTTTATTCTTTTTTCCTTTTCTTTTTTGTCTGATTACAATAGTTCAAAAATATTTTTCTATAAAAAATTGTTCCTGTGTTTCCTTTGGAGTGTTGGTGAAGTTTTCAACTATATCTTTTATTTGCCCTACTGAGCGCCTCAGTTCCAGCTCTCTGGCTTGTTCCTTCTGTGATTCCACCCCATGTTCCATTTCTCCCTCCCAGCAACAGCTGCAGCCCACTGCAGTTACCTAGGCTCATTCTTCTGAGTTCTTTGAAGCAACTCATCAGTAGCCTTTTCTCTGGGGTCTTTTGCGCTCCTTGGGAGGTGTCATACTATCTTTTTTTTTTTTTTAATTTTAAATATTTATGTGTGTGTGTGTGTGTGGCCAGCTCAGCCCACCAGGGGGCGGGGCTGGCTGGCATGCGGTGCTGGGGGATTGAACCGCGGTCCCTGTGCTTTGCTAAGCTTGTTCTAAGTAGGTGCTTTAGACCACTGAGCCATCTCACCAGCCCCAATACTATCTTGATTTTTTCCTTTTCATACTCCCTGTGTTCCTACATTGCTTTTTCTGCATCAAATCAGTTGATTTCACACTTTCAAGTTTTCATAAAAGGCTTCTACACATATTTCTTTACTTATTTGGTACAGGACTGGCATGGCATATAGTACTAGGGATCAAACCTTGCACTTTCCAGGCAGGTGCTTAGATTCCGAGCTATCTCCCCAGCCCCTATACTAGTTTTGTAGTGGTAGTAGTGGAGACTTTTTTTTTTAGTACTGGAAACTGAACCCTGGGACTTCACATTGAGTTATATCCCTAGCTCTTTGTATTTTTCACATTTGGAAACAATGTCTTGTTAAGCCATTAAGTTGCCCTGAGTGGGCTCAAACTTATGATAGTATGCTTATGAATCCCAGACTGCTGAGAACGTAAGCAGGATCTCATTGTATAGCCCAGGCTGGTCTTGAATTCAATGACTTTCCTGCTCAGACCTTTGTGCTGGAATTTCAGATATGTGCACCACGCCCAGCTCTGCAGATGTTTTAGGGTGCTGGTTTGGGAGACTAGGTTGGCTTTGGTTTGGGTTGAGTCCTATAGCTATTTCAGATGTAGTAAGTTGCTGTGTGTGTGTGTGCACGCGCACAGCAGTGAAACCACTCAGCCCACCTCTGAGGGCCGCACAGAGGCAGGAGTACCCTATAGAGACCCAGGCAACACCCTAGCAGGTCTGTGGCTGCAGTTTGCGGCCACTTGCAACGGTAGTGGTGGCATTAGGAACACAGCACAGTAGAGCCCTCAGGCATAAGCTCTGCTGGGGGCAGGGGCATGTAGCAGTGGCAGTGGCACAGGGATGGGGCGATTCCTGCCAAAGGCCTGGGCTCAGTGGGACTGAGCTACGTCTCCCTGGTCAGGCAGGCGCTGTGCAGGCCTGGGTGCTGCAGTCTCAGCAGAACTCTGAGTCTTGTTAGGTCTGTGAAGCTGCAGTCCCCACCCTAGCACGGCACAACACCGGTGGGTCCCAGGGCTTGAGATGCACAGACCTGTGTCCTGGGCAGCAGGAATCCTAATTGCCTGGTTCTCAGCAGCGTGCCAGCCCGCACTGGTGGTCACCCTTGAACCGCAGTTATCTGCCCGCTGCTCTGGCTTTCTTCATGGAGGAATAGGTGAGAACGGGGCACGACTACTCCACTGTATGGAATCGTCTTAGAATTTAAATAGCCAAGCCTGGCTTATTTGTTTTCTATTTAGTCTACAAACCCTGCCTTCGAACCACTGAATGCAGACGTTAGAAACTAGTGAGAACGGTAGGTCCCAACAGACTGTCCTCACTACGCTTCAGTCATGTTTATGGAGGACACTTGGCCTAAACACTAGTGATGAGCACAACTGTACATACGACTGAAGGATGTGGAAGTCAGCACAGGAAAAGCAAGTGGCGGTTCCATGCAGTTGGGACTCTTACCAATACTCTATGATTACGCACAGGTGTTGCACTGAAAAAATCATCATGGTCATCTTTAGGCATCTGTTCCAGAAAATCCCTCATCTGCTGCTTCCTTTTCAGTGTTCCCACTTTGGCAGTTATCTGAACAGTCTTCGTATTAGCACTGTGTCTCTCACCTTAAGAGTCAACAAGATACTTGGGTCAGGATTTGGTCATTTACAGTATCTGCTTTATACACGTCATAGCCTGTTATCGTAAAAGGTTCCTGTGTAGCAAGTGATCCCACACGGAGATCTGCACAGTGTCTTCAGCCCATGTGACAGTCACGAAGATCGGGCAGGGTGCGAGAGCCACCGTCACTGCACTACGAGAAAGGTGACATCCCATACTCTCATTACTGAGTGAAGGACTGATTGATTTTACTAAAATGTAAACCTATGCTAGGCTACTAAGTGCTCTGTAAAGCCTAGTGCAGGACTTGTCTGAAATAAAACACCTTTTACTAGGAGCTGTGGACAGGAGTGTGTCACCCCGGGACTATGGAAACTAAATGTACTCTTAATTTCTTCATGAATCACGAGGGGGTGTTAATCAAACAGCCTCATATTAAATTAGACCCTCAGCAATAATTCACCAACTGAAATCTGTGTATCCAATTTCAGATTTTCTAGAAAAACTCAAAGTTCAAGAGCACTAAACTACTATTGAAAGAACTACTTAGATTAAGATTAAAAAAAAAATTAAACATGATCTTTGAAATTCTTTTGAGCTTAAACATTTTAAGAAGCCACTCATAATAAGATTCAAGGACAATACAAAATACACTGGTGAGTAATGAGAAATCTACAGGGGGTGCTAGGAAAGAACTACTACAAACATCACCATCTTGGCCTTTGGGAAGGGCTCGCTTTCTCTTGGTGGTGTTTCTCTGAGATACTTTTCCTTTAGAATCTTCTATGTATTTCTTCTGGCATTCTTCAGCAGTTCGAGAACCTACTGCCAGAGCTACATCGGACCAGAAACCGGGTTTGTGCTTTGGAAGAGATGCAAAAGCACTACGGAAGACCAAGAAGAAAGGAACAAGAAATGATTCCTAAAGGCAGCTATTTGGGGAAAAAAAAATCAACAGTATTCCCTGTACTAAGTAACTTTCTCCAGTCCTTCAAGTATGCAAATACTATTTTTAAATATTAAAAGGTGCTTTCTAGTCCTTTTGCTGTGTTTTGTTCAAACTGAGCTTTCCCCATCGTTCAAGTTGTTCTGGGTCTTTTGTTTTTTGGTGGTATCAGGGATTGAACTCAGGACCTTGTACTTGCCAGGCAAGCACTTACTCCACTGAGCTATCTCCCCAGCCCAGGGCCTTTAGAGACAAGGCCTATGTAGCCCAGGCTGGCCTCCCATGCTTGAGCCTTCTGCTTCAGCACCTCAAGTGCTGAGATTACAGGCCTGTGCTAACTATTATTGAGTGATTTGAAATTCTGGAGATCCCCGGCACACCTATCTTTATCTTTTAATAGTGTTTCTGAACTCTTACTGGTGCTAAGTGTGCCAAAGGTAAATTCTTAGTTCTTTTTTTTTTTTTTTTTTAATTTTATTTATTTATGTGTATGTGTGTGTGTGGCCAGCTCAGCCCACCAGGGGGCGGGGATGGCTGGCATGTGGTGCTGGGGGATTGAACCGTGGTCCCTGTGCTTTTGCTAAGCTTGTTCCAAGTAGGTGCTTCAGACCACTGAGCCATCTCACCAGCCCCAAATTCTTAGTTCTTAAGTAGTCAAGGTTATATCAGAAAGTTTTATTTCTGGGAGGGATAGAAAGTGGGATGGATATGATCAATGCATGACGTAGGCATATATATATTCACTCTCACAGTAAATCCTATTAATTGAACAATTAAATATTAATAATAAAAAGAAACTTCAGGGCCACAGAGATAGCTTACTGGTCTAAGCGACTGCCTAGGGTTCGATCCCTGGTATCACTTGCTGCTGAATGCTCTGTTTTGCATAATTAATCATGCTGTAAGTGTTCTAAAATGGAGCATGCTATTAGGTGTGGGTCTAGAGGTTTCCCCAAAGCCTCGTGCAGTCACGGGGCAGGCTTCCAGTTTTGACTAACTCCCAGTCCAATGTGAGGACGATGGGTATGTGTGCTACGCTGGCCTGGGGCGGAAGCCAGCACATGATACAAGGGAGGGAAGGATGCCTGCTCACGGCTGCTGCCGGCTTCTTGCTCTTGCTGTTCTTTTTTCTGTGCCAAGAAATGCTGCCCTCTGCAATGTGCCACCTGGCCTTGGAGCCAGCTGAGTGTGGATGAACTGTGAGCTAAATAAACTTTTTTTTCCTTAATTCTGGGCATCAAGTATTTTGTCTCACCAACAGGGTAGAAAGTAACCAAGACAGAGTAGGTGATAACTAGGAAGGATTTCAGAGAGGTGATTGCTAAGAGTGGTTCTGAGTTTTAGGTATGCTGGACCTCAACTGATGTAATTGTAGCCAGGGACTACCTTAAAGAGAAAGGGAAAATAAAGGAGAACTAAAGCAGTTTCCTCTACTTTTCAGAGTTTGAAGCTCCTTTCTGCCCATCCAGAACCACATAGCTTTGATGTGAACTCTCTTTGTCTCAATACCTACTTTGAGCTTTGTGGTAGCTTTGAAACTAACTCAGGGATACAAAAGGAAAAATTGCTGGGGACGTAGTTCAGTGGCACAAGCACCTGCTGGCAAGCGCAAGGTGCCAAGTTCAATCCCCAGTACTAGGAAAAAAAAAAAAAAAAGGTGGAAAACTGTGAACTTCCTGGTATTCTGGCGGTACTTACCATTCTAGATTTCTCCTATCAACTCATTATTATTTATTTCCTAAACTGATAGAAACCTCTTCATACAGCCTACCCAGGCTTTATAGTTGCAAAGAACAAATGGAGTGTTACTGTACCTTTGAGAACTAAATTCTCTGCAGCCCACGCATTTTAAAAAAAGTCTCTTTAGATGATTTAAATAAACAAAGATTGAAAATGTTTATTATACGGAAATAATGAAGGATATAGCTGGAAAAGATAAAATCAATACATAGTATGCTGCTGATGCAAGCAGAACTGTCAGTATATAATTTGAAGATCAGTAAAAATCTAATGAAGCTCAATTAGAACCACAGATTAATCTGGAAATATTGAAGGCTACTACTGCCTAGCATATACAAGGCCCTAGGCTCTGTATCCAGTACAGAAAAACAAAAACAAACAAGCAACAAAGAAAAAGACCAAAAAAACAACAAAACAAAACAAAACAAAACAAAACAAAACAACCCCAAAAGGCTACTTCCACAATTTAAACAAATGGCATCAAAGGTCTGAAAATGAAATATTAAAAAAAAGGCTGCAGATGGAATAGCTCTTTGCCAACTAATTAGATTTTATTTTTTAAAAAATCAATGACAAAGAGCTTAAACCTAGTTGATGGAAAGAATTATAGTTCTAGAAATAAAAAAATAAGCAGATGAAACAAGCAGAAGAATGGGAAAATAAGCTTACAGTTCTCTGCCTTTACTGTGTCATATCAGATCCACAAGGAAACACGAGAAGCCAGCAGGGCAGCACAGTGGCACTGGCTCGTAATCCCAGGTTCTTAGGAAGCTGGAGCAGGAGGCTCACAAGTTACAGGCCAGCCTGGGCAATTTAATGAGAATCTGTCTTAAAAACAGAGGGCTGGGGATGTGAGATCCTAGGTTCAAATTCAGTGTGGGGGGAAAAATTCAGGGCCAGAGATGCAGAAGTCACTACACAAAGAGGAAAAGGCGCACGTCTGGGAGGAAGAAGGCTACTATTGGAGTGGGCCTCACAGCAAAAGCAGCCAAGAACTCTGGACAGAAAGACGATTCCCTTCTCTGTCTGAAAGTGAAAGGAAAAACATCTGAGAAACCAAAGAGTACAAAATCATGCACATGCACTAGAACAAATGTGTCAGGAAAATAGAGTTGAAAGGATTCCCACATGTAAAGTTGGAGGGGCTCACAGGAAAGGACCGGAGCGTGGAACGTGCCTGCCACCTTCCATGCCCTTCCCACCCACAGTCCCCTCCCGCCACCAGCCCATCTGCATCAGCTGCGGACACAGACCAGGCCTCGTCACCTCGCTGCCTCCTGTTACCCTGGACCTCTCCAGTCCTCGGTTGCTCACCCCGGTTGATTTTTTCTTTAGCTTCCCATTAACTCTCCATCACTCATCCATGATCTGGTTTCCACAGATTACACTATGGGAACTGCTGTCAATCTAGGTAGCCAAAGCCAATTCTAACCACACCTGATTTATCAGAAGTAGCATGCACAAGAAATCCCCCTTCTTGGAAAACCCAACTACTGGAATCACCACAGTGCTAATCACCAGGAGGCACCCAGCCAGCGCCTCCCTGCTCTGCTGCCACTGGGGACACGTTCCAGAGTCAAGACTCCCTACTTACCAGTGAAGTTTCTGCAATTCTTTCTCATCCCATTCCTCATCCTGGTTTAAGCCAGGTAAACCTGCTAACTGCTTGTTCGTTCTGGTAGAGCCCGCTGCCTCAGTGGAAAACTCATTCCTACCAGCACGCCTCTGAAGAGTGTCTGTAACAGAAGACCTAGCTTTCTTGTGTTTGAGATGAAACTCGGCTTTACTTTCCTCAGTTTCAGATTCGGAACTCACTATGGTATTATTCCCTGCGCTGCTTTTCTGGTTTTTGCTCAGGCGAGCAACTGTTTCTTTGTTATTTCTTGCTCTGTTTTTCCTAATAGCTTTCCTTCTAATTTCCTTTTCGGTTTCACTTTCTTCACTTGACAAATCTGATGAGGACTCACGATTATAAAATGACACAGCTACCTGATTTTCAATTTTCTTCAATTTTGATGGCAACCTGGTATTTTTTTTAAAGTCTGGAACACCCAGGCATTTGTTTCTAGGACTAGGTATTTTTACTTTCCGGTTAATAGTGAGTAAATCGCGTTCACAGCAATCTTCCTTGTTTTCACTCCTATCCACACTGCCCTCGGACGCATTTCCTGAAGTCCCCGTGGGCTTTCTGACGCGACTTTCACTGGAGTCTAGCTCACACTTTTCCTGCTGCTCTGGCGCTGGGAAATCCGCTGCTGCTCTAGTGGAGCTGTAGGAGAGATTGTGTTTCATGCATCTTTGCTCTATCCTCTTTCTAGTTTTAAGTGGTGTTAGTAAAATACAAGCTTCTTTCTGGTTGATAGTCATGTATTTTCTTTCTTCACCCAAAGAAATCTGTTCCCGTGAAGTCAAAATATCAGTAGAAACATTTGATTCTTCAGTTCTCTCTTTACCTTCATAAGACAAACCCAAAGACAACAACTTCAAATTAGCCATAAACACATGTAAATGTATGTTCACAAATACCATTTACTTTATTTCAAAAATCCTGTTGTCTTCCCGAAGCACAGACGTGTTCAGATGACCACCCCTTCAATTGTTTTTTTTTTTCAAGTTTTATTGATAAACAGATAGCAATGAGACAGTTTCAAATCAAATCGGAAGTACAGTTTCAACAAATAATACACTGCATATATTCTTCTTAGTGGTT